AAACCATGGCACCAAATTATGAATTCACCGAATAATAATGTGATATATATAAGAGGGTGCAGGTTGCCTGACAGGTGTTGTCGAGGTTCGGGGAATCACTGACTGGAAATCCTTTGTGGCTCTTCGAGATTCTGAATACAAGATATCCTTCGACGGTTTATTTTTTATATCCTTACAGTCATTTATGTTCGTTGTAGTATTACTTCCCCCTACCGATAGCTGCTACCTTGACGTGGTGGTCGGGCTTGAACACCACAATGACCCAACAAGCTATACTGGCTGAGACTTATGTCTCTTGAGGTCCTACTATGCCAGAAAGGTTGTTTGGATAGCGGTTAGACAAAAAGCAGTTACCCAATCCAATACTATGATTCGAACAAATTCACAAAATATCATGCCGGATCGGTCGGGGCCCGGATTAACAACGACTGCGCTTCCTGCTGCCGTGTCACAGGGCAGGAGTGATAAATATGCTACTGAGACACACCAAACAAAAGAGAACAAACAAAAACAGGCCGCGTGTGACCGGCCTCAAGCAGTTGTCCCTTGGGCTCTGTGGTCATGCAACCAACTTCCACGGTGTGGGCAGCCGGGAAGTAACAATCACCCTCACCCACTTAAAACGATGGAAGCCAAAAAACCACCACCGACAGCCTCTTAAAGCCGCGCCACCAATTTCATATAGGAGCATTTACTGCTAGGACACTTTGCCAAATAGGACAACAAGCATCACTAGCCAAGACTCTGGCATCCCGAGCCATTGATGTATGTTGTGTTTCGGAAACACGCATACAAGACCAAAGTGTGGTGATTCACCTAACCCCACCTGGCCAACAGGATGAATCTTCAAATTTCACCTTGAGGGTGTCAGGAGATGCCACAGCTAGTTCACGAGGATTAACTGGTGTAGGAATAGCTTTGAGTACTAGGGCAGAAAAGACACTGCTTGACTGGATCCCGGTAGATAGCCGAATGTGTGCTGTCCGTCCGAACGGGTCAGTAAAAAGGAGAAAAGACTGCACTACTCGCCGATGCCTTTTCGTAATCTCCGCCTACGCCCCCGCTGACTGCAGTTCAGATAAAACGAAGGATGAGTTCTACCAAAAGCTGTCTAGTTTGGTGGGAAAGGCTAAACGCTCAGACATAGTCGTTCTAGCTGGTGACTTCAACGCTCAAGTAGGGAAATTGTGTCAATCTGAGAAGGATGTCGGTGGCACCTATGGAGTTCCGTGCCAGCGAACTGACAACGGTGACCGTCTCCTACAGTTCTGTTCAGATAATCATTTGTTTCTTGTAAGCACTAACTTCAAACACAAGGAGAAACACTGTTTGACTTGGAGACCCGCTTCATCAAACCAACGCTGGACACAAATAGACCACATAGCAATAAGCTATCGTTGGCGTGGGTCGGTAGGAGATTGTCTCTCCTTCTGGAACACGTGTGCAGATACCGACCACGCACTGGTCCGCGCTCGGGTGTGCTTACGACTGAACGGACGTAGGAAACAGCTGGCGGTAAACCCATCACGTCCCCAGCTCGATCAGGAAACTAAATCCCTATTTGAGGAAGAACTAGCTAAACACATATCTGTGTTCGACAGGTGTGCTCACCCTGAAGAACCTTGGAAGAATATCCAGGCAGCCATAGATACATCTGTAAAAGCTGTGAATAAGGTAAATCCAAAGGTGAGTAAAAACCATTGGATTTCGACTGCCTCATCCGAACTGATAGATGCTAGAAGACTTATTCCGGCGAGCTCCGAATTCAATGAGGAGCGAAAGCTGCACAAAAGGAAACTTACGAAAAGTCTCCGGAAGGACCGTGAACAGTGGTGGGTGACAAAGGCGAAAGAGATGGAAGAAGCATCGGCTATAGGCAACACTAGAAAACTCTTTAGGGAGTGAAGTGGTAGAGAACGTTGACCGCTTCACTTATTTGGGAAGTACCATCAGCCCCAACGGATTGATCTCTGACGAAGTCTCAGCACGGATACAGAGGGCTAGTTTTGCATATGCCAGTTTACGCCGTCTCTGGAGTAGACGTGATATCCGACTATCGACCAAAGTACGAGTGTACCGTTCTTCAGTCCGCTCCGTCCTCCTTTATGGCTATGAGACCTGGCCATTGAGAGTGGAGGATATGAAAAGATTAGCTGTCTTCGACCGTAGGTGCCTGCGTTCTATCTCCTGTGTGAAGTGATATAATAAGGTGAGCAATATTGAGGTTAGGCGTCGGTCGAGTGCTAGGTAAAGAGGGAGGTGAAATCAATCGACGAGGCTGTGGTGTTACGTCGACTGAGATGGTTAGGAAATGTGTTACGTATACCTAGTCATCGCCTTCCTCGACGGGCAATGTTAGCGGATATAGGGTCAGGCTGGAAAAGAGCTAGCCAGTGGTGGTCAAACCAAAACATGGCACCAGTCAATGAAATTCACAACAGTTAGTCTAAGCCACGTAGGGAAGTGTTGACTTCCTGACTCGTTGGGGTGCTCGGGACGGTAAAAACCTATGGTTGGAAACAATTGGTGATATGGCTCATAATCGCTCTCAGTGGTGCAGACGCATCCACTCCTTGAGACTTATGATTTCCAATGAAACTGTTTTGTTCTTCGTTACTACTATTCCTTTGTCTCATACCTCTGTTTACTGTCTCTATTATGCATTTCTTCTACTTTCTTCTGTTGCTTTGTGTGCTACATGGAGTGTGGCGACTTGAACTACCGCAAATATGTGCAAAGTTCTATGTCGAAAACAGATAGACAGACAGACAGTATCACTTCCATATATCTTATCCTCGTGTCCCTGTAGTGTTCGAATATTTGACGACTAACTCATTTCTATTGAGAGATTTGAGTTGCATATATTTCATAACAGTGTAACGTAATTTTAATTAGTAATCTCATAGCCAAGTTGGTAGACAAACTTCGATTAGAACTGTTGACTTGATAGCCACATTATCTTTCATCCGTTACCTGACTTATTTACGTTATTCAGGCATCTGTTTAACACGTGATGACTGGAGCAGTCTGTTAGCTGAGCATCCGTTTTGAAAACGATATTTGCAACCGTTTATCTCTAAACGAACATGAGTTTCATCCAGATTGAAAATTTGTCTAGATGATTATTTGTCAACAAATAAAAAAGTCAATTCTAATGTGTTGGGCAGTTTAACTCTTTAAATCGTAATGATAAAGTGGTTTAATCGAAAACCATATTTCTAAATATGTGATTTATGAAAGCACTGAGTTACACTACTATAAGTGAAAATGATTGTAGGCTTGGTGACTGGAGGACTAGACTGGTAAGAACTGATCAATGAACAAGCATTGACACATTTTCATTGAATTGATTTCGGACGAAATCGATTGTGACTGGATTTACTTTTTGATGGACGAAATTGTTAATTTGTACAAAAATGTGTTTGTTATATGTTTAGAAGTCAGTGTTTATGCAGTTAATTCTAAGGTGAAGGTTACTGATAAAATGAATTGAAGTTGTATGTAATAGCTTATGTTTTAACCAATGTCATACAAACAGACAATGTAGTTGTTTTCAGGCGTTCACTTAGGATTAATCAGAGTTAGAATCAAATGTGACATACTGAAACAGAAGGATAAAAAAAACTATTTATACTCGCAAATTATCTTTTACTTCAGTTAAATCTTTACATCTTTCAGCAACTTAATTAGTCTTAACGAGGATCCAGTGAAGTGATTTTCTAGAGCGTTTTGTCTTTAGTATATGTGTTTTTGGTGTACTGAGAGAGGTAGGAAGGGAGCAGTGAAAAAGTCCTTGGGAAGTTAACTCGAGTTTGTGGATATTAAAGCTGGATTAGTACATAAAGTAGGCAGGTAAATAGATAGATATGTTATTTTCTGGTCCTAAAGAACTTCGGTGATATACTGAGTCAGTCGAAGAATCTTACGTTCCTGTTATTGAATAGAGGTGTCAGACAAAGATGACTTTAAATTTGTGCACTCTGGCGATATCTGCTACGCGAATTTGGTAGTCAAGCTTACACTGTCAATAAGTCAGTTAGCTATATCGGTTGGGTTGGTAGTTCATGATGTAGCGGAAAGGGATTGATGACAGTGAGCTGTGTGCGTAGGATGATCAAGAAGCCGTTAATATTATCAATAGCACTATACCTTATATAGTTAATTCCCCTTCTGTTAACTCTTGAATCATTAAACTAAAGACGTATCATTCCTAGTTTTTATAAATCAGACTACGAACTTCACCTTAAAGTTTTTCATTTAGAAGTTGTAATTGGGAAGAACCCTGATGGTCATCACATCTCTGTATCTATGATAAAGGCATAAAACATTCACTTGTGGTTACTGATTGAGTGAGTGCATTATTTCAGTGAAAGGAAAATAATATATTTATTAAGACATTTTTAACGCGAGAAAATGAGAAAATATGAAGTGCTTTGTTGAACAACAGTGAACTGACATAAATGTGAGTGCTGTTCCAATACAAACATAATACTCTCATCTGAAAACAATAGTTGCTTATGTAAAAATTATATTTGTGTAAATCTTAGCGAAATAGGGATAAATAATTCCAACGTTTTAAGTTTTCATTTCAATTTCACTGAGATTTATCCAAATACAATTTTCACATATGTCTACTTCTGTGCGTCGGTGGCACAGTGGTTAGGACTCTCGCCGACCATGCACATGGTCCGGGGTTCGAGCCCGCACCGACGCACATCTGATATCTATGGTCGGCCTGCAAAATTTGGGCTACCGATATCCATGCTGACAATTCCATACGTGTACCAAAATACAGTGTGGAATCAAGCTGTAAATAAAAAATAAAAAAAATAAAAAAAATTCAGCACCGAATGTGGTAGGAATATTCGATCACAGTTCGTATAAATTAGTGCTTAGTTCACGAAATAATATTATGTTATAATCGTGAATATTACTGGAAATATATTGCTGTCATCTTTTAATAATACTAGTAAAAACTATTGATACTTTCATTATTTCAGAAACACTGATTTCAGAAAGTAACACCAACAACAATACTAATCAGATTAATAAAACAAACAGAAGAAATAACTCCACAAATGTCAATATGGAACGTGTTTTCGTTGAAATTGGTGGAATTACTGAGTTACAGCCACATGGAACTGATCAAGTTGCTTTTTATCGTTTACGTCCAGACTATACTGTTTTCTGTACGGCTGATTACATTAAACTACCACAACAAGTTCGTTATGTGAACTGCAGTGTACATCATGTGAGTTTTCTGACAGCGCACTGTAAAGTTTAGTCTTGTTTAAATGCCTAGTTTCTAACCAGTGGGTTACGATTTCGATTTATGTAGTTGAGGCATTGTTTCACACTATCTTAATAGATATTATTCGAAACTGAGCAATGTGAACATCCAGTTGACGACTGAACTGCAAGAATTTAATTTATCCCTGAACTATACACTTCAGCTCGTCAACTTTTTTTCACGAATCACCTTCTGGGTTATTTTATGGATTAAATTTTAATATAACATTTTCACATATTTGGTATTTTTTGGAATATATCCGCACACATTTAAGTTCACTCGGCGGTCTATTGATTTATTGCTTTATTCTGTATCCTAGTCTTACTGTTGGCAAACATTTCAGTGGCATCGTAGATGTCAACATCATTACCTTACGAGGAAATGAAGTAAATCGACAATATCTAAATATTTTTAACATACTGCTTTTCTCATTTCCATCTGGTCCATTATTCAGCGAGTGTTTGCACCCGTGTAGATCCAACTGTTTCAGTAAACATCTACCGTGTGACTTTTGTTTTCTTATTAACTGATTATATCGCCCTCATGAAGTTTGCTGACCTGTGAATAGCTACATTTTACAAGTAAGAAAATGGAATCACTTTCTTGTTACCTTAGATAATTTCTGAAGGAGTTTCTCGAACATATCAGCTACACTTAATTGTCGAATGCTGTGTAGCATTGAATCAGAGCACAGCTTGCATTACAAATGATATGCAGGACAGTGTAGTAACTCACAAAATAGTGCTCTAATTCAAGTTAAACTACTGTCCAACATAATAAAGAGAGGAAGTCAGTAAAACAAGGTGGCTCAAAGGAAGGTAAGATAGAGTGGGAAAACATAAAACAATTAACTTTTCAAAATTTAGGAAAAGATAAAAATATGTTGCTTTTCGCTGATTTTCAGTTGCTCGATTTCTAAAAAATTTTCTTTTTTCATCTTTTTTCTTGTGTTCTTAATTCTCATCTATCCGTCCACTCGATCTCATGTTTTTGAATGGTAATAATTACATCCTAATTTTCAATCAGTACTAATTAAATTTCTTGAAACATACAATGGCATTGCTTTTTTCTTTAGGACACTAACCTACTTTATATATTTTGGGAGTCAACAAGTGAACTATCAGTCCTAGATCTTCGTCGTCATACACTTCGCCCGTTGGCGCGCTTACTGTCTTCTTCAACTTCTTCAAATGAAGCACGAATTCATGCCGGACTAACATGGATTGGAGAATTTTTATATGTTGTTGGAGGATTTAGCCAGTTTGTTGGTGATCACCGACGTCCTACTGCTCCAAGAGATGATATTCATTGTTACGATCCAGCTTTGAACACTTGGTACGTGTTTTCTTTTACTAATACAAAAAAAATCATTCCATTATACAGAATAAGTGCGTCGGTGGCACAGCGGTAAGGACGCTCGTTGACCATGCACATGGTCTGGGGTTCCATCCCCGGCTGACGCACTCGTTTACCTCACTAAACTAAAAATAAAAGCTGGTACAGAGCAAAGGTTGGACATGAGGCTAGCAACCTCATCCTGTAAAAATAAACACTGCTACAGAAACTTCAAGCCTGTAGCTTGAAGCACTATGTTCCACTGGGGAACGTGAAGGAATAAAAAAATGTACAGAATAAATCGTATTTGTTTGTTTCTTTTCTTACAACAGGTCGCGTATAAAAGTATCAAATACAACAGTCCCTCGAGCTATCTTTGGGTGTGTTTGCCTCAATATGTGATAGTTACATCACTGTCGGTTGCCTGGGCTTTTATCTGTTTATACTTTTATTGGTATTTGGATTACTGCTGTTTCATGTTATTGTATTTATTACTGATATTACTTCATCTGGAATCACATTGTACTCCTTACTGATATTGTGATGTGATATTTCTTACAACTGTTCAACTAAATGTGAATCAAAACGTGCAGTATTGCGCACCTTTTTTGTAATGTCTTTTTGTTGTATCCCTGTGCCCTTAAAGTCGCACTATTCTGATATTTTACTTATGAGTAATTGTTTCTTTGTGCAGATTATTTATTCCCGCTGGTTCGGGTTTTATATTTTTATTTTACAAATATCATTATTAGGAGCATTGTAATCATCAGAGTGTTAAAACAAAGCTGCATTTACATAATGAAATGGACTCATATTATTGTTCATTCTACTTCAAGCAGTCGTTTTTCTCTATTTTATACCTGTTTATTTGGGACATTAAGAGATTATCTTTTATGACGTATTTCATAAAACAATATCACAAGTTAGCAATCATCAGCGATTGCTATTGTATGTAACGACGTGATTCATGGTACAACATTCATTTTAAACCTTTTTCTTGTAGACATCCCACACTGCCAAAAATATAAATGGAATGTAGACTGGACTCACTAAATGTTTCTCACATTCCACTCATCTCAAACTTACAGAAGTTAGTGTATAGAAGTTTTGATTTTGATTCTCTTTACTCTGAACTTATTTTGATGACGAACTTTAATGATAAGCATTAGTAAGTGAATTATACGGTATCAAATAAAATTATTGCATTGCGAAACTAGTAGAAAATTCATTACAGTTCAGTGGCTAAATTGCTGACTATTCTGGCAATAGTGAGATGTATTCTGTAATCCTTCTTACGTCTTCATACTGAAACTCTTGGCCGTTGTCTGAAGACTGTGTGATTAAGATAGTTAGTTAGATTGTGAGGTCTGTGAATCCTCACGTTATTACATTCCAGTTTGGCGCTTATTGTGTGATTGACCAAAAATACACACCCAGAAATGAAAATAAAAATAAACAGCTGGAAAAAGAGTCTCTTTTCGGTGAATTCATTCACTTAGCTGTCCAGTAGCAATTATATGAAATTATTCTGTGTATACGTGTGTATATGAGGTGTGCTAGATACAAACAGAAATTAGTTACGGATATTCAAAATGTGTAAAGAATAATCAAATTATGACTAGGGGATAAAGATTAGTAGGTAATGACACGGATTACCTTATATCAAATAGTTCAGAGAATAAGGATATCGATCAAATAGGGTGAAGCAAAGCTCCGTGAATAAATTACGTAAGCCTCACAAACAGAAGAAAGGGATTAGATAAGAAAAATCTCTTCGTTACTCATTCAGCATATCAAAAATCGAAATCGCAAAATATTAATCCGAATTAGAACCAAATTAAACGACGAAAACAAACAAATTCGAATTACGTAAACATCCACAAAAAAGCGGACATCAAAAGTCCCAAAAAGACACCACATAATACAGCAGCAGAGAGTGGGATATAGTTGAATGAGTGCAGCAGCGATATTTTAGGACGGCCGAGACAATTCACCGTCTCGGTTAACTAGGCAACGTCTGCGAAAAAGAGATAATCCAGTTGGGCTGGTGTATGTGATTGATTATCCCGGTAAACAAAAAGGGAGACAAGTCTTCCTGGGATAATCACGGATGGATTAGCTTGACTAATATGGTGTCATCTAAAGTTTGAGGCTCAATAATCATGGGTAGACTAAGTGGTCCTCGAGAGGAACAAACACGAGAAAATCAGGCAGGCTTTAGACCAGGAAGAAGGTATATTTGTCATATCTTCACACTTCGACAGATTCTGTGGCATAGGCGTACTTACCGGCGTCCAACAATCACTGTATTTCCTTATCTAAAAGCGGAATTCGATTCCGTCGATCGAGAGGTACTATGGCAATGTTTGGTCGTGTAGCGTATGACGAGGAAATACATCTCACTAATCAAAGCACTCCACTGGAACACATGCAGCTAGGTAAGGACCTACGGAGAGTTGTCCTCTGAAGTGATAACAACCAGTGGTGACCGTCAGGGATATCCACCGTCCTCATCTCTCTTTCATTACATCATAGATGTACTAGTCGACTTAACTCTAACTGACTTCAGCGACTCACCGATTGACTTGTTACCGAGGAATAATCTCGCTGGCTAAGCATATGAGGATGACATAGTCCTTCTAGGTGAAGACGCTGACAAAATTCAGAGTCTTATGAACATCTTGAGCTGTACAGCAATCTTCATTTTTTATTTTATTTTTGATTACAGCTTGATTCCACACCGTATTTTTGGTACAAGTATGGAATTTTCAGCGTGGATATCGGTAGCCCAAAATTCGCAGGCCGACCATACATATCAGGTGTGCGTCGGCGAAGGCTCGAACCCCGGGCCATGTGCATGGTCGGCGAGAGTCCTAACCACTGTGCCACCGACGCACAGTGGTGGACGCATCTTCGAATGTTTAGCATGCGATTCGCTAGTGCTGTCAAGTGTAAGATGATGCTACATGACTGGACTGGACTACATCGACTCCTAGCCTAAAAATAGGGGATGAAGTGGTGGCTGAGCGTGTTGACCACTTTACTTACTTGTGAAGTTGCATCAGCCAAAGCCAGCGGGTTGATCTCTGACGAAATCTCAGCACGGATACAGTTAGCACAGTCCATGCGCTCACTCTCGATATGATAGGATAAAGGGTAAGTTGTAAAATCTAATATAGTCAGTAGAAAACCGATCAAGGAGTCATTATCTAATCTACACCAAACACACAACTGCGAAAACTGGAAACCCATAAAAGGTATTTAGAAAATTATGTTGCCAATAAACCTGTCTTCATCGATGGAGATAATGTTCATAGCCTTATAAATGCTCCATGAAACTCAATCTCCGACAAAAATGGCACCCTAATTAGCTCTCAGGATAGACGACTGGAACATGTTCAGGGGCAATTTAACTGGCCTACAGCCACTCTCAACTTGACGAGCATCCAACACCACCCTGAATGGTAATATAAACATCCGTCCCCAACTCAAGTTGCAAAAGCCATCTCTAATCTGAAACGGGGCAAGGCTATGGGACCTGATCGAATGACTCCAGCAGCGATGTTTAAGGACGGTGGAGATAAATCACCGTCTCGGTTAACTATGGTATTCGCCAACGTCTGATTAGTTGAACCTTACTCATATCAACATGTAGGGCCTGAATTTGAGGCCAAACTGATCCATGCATCAAATGAGCGTTCTTCTCGCGTGATTTGAAAGTTTGCAGCTCGAATATCTGATTGGAACATGCCATACTACTGATGAGCCCGGTATCAAACCTGTAGGGCTAGTGTCAGATGTTTAGATCACTTTGTTCAGAATAGGAGACGCCACTGGTTAGTTTGAGTCGTGCTTGACCCTTAAAAATACAAGCCCTGCTTAGAAGTACGTCTCTCTGTATTTTGCTCTTGTTGTGACTTTAAAAATGTGCTACGAAGTCAGCCTTTCGGTATGTACAGACTTTGGTTAGTTATTCCCGTAGTTCGTTTGATTAGAAAATTAGGGTCGGACCTGGTCTTGGGATGTTGTTATGTACCTGTCGCCAATTGATACGATCTATTTGATTTTGAGGGGAATCATTATGGAACCAAGAACTGCATTACTTAGCCACTCTACCAGACAGTTACTTTTCCCCTACATCCATACAAATATACACATTCACAATGATTGACGCTTGTGTAAACTTATTCTTGTTATAATAATTACAATCAACTCGATTATTATGCACTGATGCATATGCTTGAACTTTAACTCCATCAGTATCGCTATTCACAAGGCAATTCCCAATTCGCCATTTAAACAACTCGTGGTGAAATTCCAACAGTTTTCTAAGGTGGTCGAGATTATTCAGATCACAAAGTGTGATCTGCTTGATGCCATAAATAGCAGTCAACCTGAAAATTGCGAATTCAGTTCAATCTATTGCCAATTCGTCTAGGTAGCTAGCTGGAATTCGGATGGTTTTAACTGACTTGGTTCTGATCTGAGTAGGATACATCACTGACGACCTCGGCCCTGGACAGGCGAGACTTTGTTCCGTGTTTAGATCATCTCGATCTGAATAATAATCACCACCACTGATTGTTGCCAGTGGTGTCCAACTACTCATGTCAATCAATGAATCAATCAATAGTAAGTAGCGGCATGCATAAATTCGAACTTTATTTCTACTGACCGAATTGGCACTAAATGTTTGGGATTAATAAGTTCACTATCCAATCGTAAAGCCTAGTGAGAAGTCACTGCGCTCTCAAATTTAGTGAGTTATCAATTCTCTGACTTCAGTCTATTAGGTACGCCACTGATGAGCTCGGTGCCAAACGAACGAAAAAGTTGTCCGGCGTTTAGATCAATTCTATCTGGCTAGTAGGCACTACTGATTAGCGTCACTGATTCCCGACTACTCATATCAATCCACAGTATACACCATCATGCTCTTCTCATTAGCTTTCTTCATTGTCATCTATGGGATCAAGCTGACCGAATATTGTGATGTTAATATTAGGGGTTTCCATTGGAAACACCGTGAGTTTTCACCTGGAGCTGGTGAATTCGCAAATGTAACTGGGTCAACTGTGGCTTCGCTGGACGTAGTCTCTCTATTCGCCAATGTCACCTTAACGGAAACTGTATACTACCTATATGAGTCTATTGACTCGAACAATCTAAATTTTGACATATCCACTGAGCACATCACACAGATAACACTAAGACGCACCCAACAAATGTTCAGTTTTTATTCAATGGTCAAATGCACGGCCAGAAGGATAAAGTGGCGATGGATTCTCTACTTGGTCCATTGCTTCATGGCGTACCTTGAGGCATATATCCTCCTACCAGAAATCAAACAGTTCGAAGTGTGCAATCGGTATATAGATGATATATTCCTCATCACCCATGAA